CACCTGTAATCCCAGCACTTTGGGAGGCCAAGGCAGTAGGATCACTTGAGCCCAGGAGTTTGAGACCAGCCTAGGCAACATAGCAAGACTGTATCTCAACAAAAAAAAAAAATCAGAAAAATTCATCAGGCTTGGTAGCACACCTGTAGTCCTAACTACTCAGGCGGCTGAGGCAGAAGTATCACCTGAGCCCAAGAGGTCACGGCTGTGGTGATCCGTGATTGTGCCACTGCACTCCAGCCTAGGCAACAGAGTGAGATTCTGACTCAAAATTTTTTTTAAATGAACTATGGCCGAAAAATATTTATGAACAAGACTAAGAAGTTTAACATGAGGCTGTTTCCGCCTGATCTTCCTTTTTGAGAGTGGACTATTCTTTGCTTAATAAAGCTACTTGCAGCCGGGCTCGGTGGCTCAGCCTGTAATCCCGCGCCTTTGGGAGGCTGAGGTGAGTGGATTGCCTGAGCCCGCGGGTTCGAGACCTGCCCAGGCAGGTGAGACCTCATCTCTACAATAAATCAAAAAATTAGCCGGGCGTGGTAGCACGCGCCTGTAATTCCGGCTACTCGGAAGGCTGAGGCGGAAGGATGGCCGGAGCCCGGCAGGTCGAGGCTGCGGCAGCTGGGAGTGGCCACTGCACTCCAGTCTGGGCGACAGAGTGAGACTCCAACTCAAATAAATAAATAAATAAATAAATAAAGCAAGCTACTTGCTTGATTTGTTAAAAAAAAAAAAAAAAAGAGAGAGAGAAATTTAACATAAACATTATCCTTATTTATCTCCTTTTCAGGCGACTGAGCCAAAGACCAACACCAGAAGAACTAGAACAACGAAATATATTACAGCGTGAGTCCTGCTATGGAAATAAAGTTGTATAGATTTTGTTTATATGTTTCTGATTTTAATATACATAATGGAAAAGACACTTTTGCTGCAAAGGCTAAGGAGAGAGTGTTCCAGCCAGGAAGGACTATTCATTTTTCCCCTTAAGGAAGAGCTCCCCCAAGCTTCCTGTGGCAGAGACCATTATGGTATTGTTTAAGTGTACTGTGGTACTCCAGAACTTTGTTGTAATGTTCTCACAGTATCCTAGGACTCCCTAAGCATTTTGAAGGATTTGTCAGTATGTGGGGGATGTGCCCAACTTTTCTCTGTCTTTAAGGAGCTAAGGTAGTAGCTATGCATGCGAGGAAACCTTCCTGTTCCTAGCAGAATGTTAGGATAGAGCCCTAAACCAAGTCCTTTGCTTCCACTTGCTTTCATCCCTTAACACTGTCTTACCTCTGTAGTCACCAAATAGAACCATGTATTTAATTTGCTGTCTGTGTGTATAGTTAACTCTCTAAATCAATGTTCTAATCTAGTACAGATTTGATTCGTTTTTCCAGATTATAGAGTGAAATTTGGCTTTAAAAACCTCTTTACTCCTGGGTGACAAAAGGACTAAGGGAAAAAAGAAAACCTCACTGGAGAGGTTTAGGCTTCCCTGGGGTTATTTGTGGGCATGTGCCATCTGATCAATCCATTCCATTCTCTTGGCACTATTTTGGTATATACAATTTAACTACGTAGTAAATTTTAAAATGTGGGAGCCTTTATAGACATATCACACAAAATGGTGTGATCTCCATCTTAGCAGTCACTCTTGAGCAAAAATTTGCAAATTTTTTCTCCAAGTACATATAGTAAATATTATTGGCTTTGCAGGACAAAAAGCAAATGGACAACTATTATGTAGGTACTTAAAAACCCATTTTAAAATGTAAAGACCATTCTTAGCTCTTGTACAGTAAAAATACAGGCAGCTGGCCAGATTTGTTATCATAGTTTGCTGACCTTGCTCTTAAGTTTTTTACTATGCCAGTAGACAAAAAAATCATCTTGATTAGTTATCCCCAAAGTTAGTATTTTTTTTTTTTGGCTCAAGCTCAGAGAGAACAAAGTTAGTATTATAATTTGGACCTATAAAAAATATCTGTGGTATAATTATTTAAAAGTTTGATATTCACATTGCCATTTGAAGTAATATTATTTGTTCTTGACTGTTCATTGTAGCTAAAAATGAGGCTGATCGTCAGGCAGAAAAACGAGAGATTAAACGTCGGCTCACTAGAAAGGTACTGTTGCTCTTGACTTTGGTTGACTATATATGTCTTATGTTTGGATGACCTATTTGGAAAGAAATGAATCTGATTTTAGGTATCATAGATTGCTATGAAAATGTAATACATGATGCAAATATAGAAAACAACATTATCAAGAGCTCTTTTTTCTTTCTTTCTTTTTTTCTTTTTGAGTCGTAGTCTCACTCCATTGCCCAACTGGAGTGCAGTGGCACACTCACAGCCACCCCAGCATCGACCTGCTGAACTAAGGCGATCCTTCTGCCTCAACCTTTCAAGTAGCCGGAACTACAGGTGCACACTACCATGCCCATCTAATTTTTTGATTTATTGTAGAGACAAGGTCTAACCAAGTTGCCCAGGCTGGTCTCAAACCTACGGTCTCAGACAATCCTTGGCCTCCCAAAGTGCTGGGATTACAGACTGAGCCACTGAGCCTGTCCTCTCTTTTTTTATTTTGAGTCGGAGTCTCACTCTGTCACCCAGGCTGGAATGCAGTGTCACACTCATGACCACCGCAGCCTTGACCTGCTGGGCTCAGGTGATCCTTCTGCCTCAACTTCCAAGTAGCTGAAACTACAGGCATGTGCCGCCATACCCGACTAATTTTTTTATTTATTGTAGAGATGAGGTCTCACCAAGTTGCCCAGGCTGGTCTCAAACCTGTGGGCTCAGGCAGTCCTCTCACCTCGGCTTCCCAAAGTGCTGGAATCATAGGCATGAGCCACAGCGCCCAGCCTCTTTTATTGAGTAGGAGTCTCACTCTGTCATCCAGGCTGGAGGACAGTGACATGCACATGGCTACCCCAGCCTCAACCTGCTGGGCTCAGTCAATCCTTTCACCTCAGCCTTCCAAGTAGCTGAAACTACAGGTACGTGCCACCATGCCCAGCTAATTTTTTGATTTATTATAGAGATGGGGTCTCACCAAGTTGCCCAGGCTGGTCTTGAACCCCGGGGTTCAGGTAATCCTCTCACCTCAGCCACCCAAAGTGCTGGGATTATAGGCGTAAGCCACCACCCAGCCAAAATTATTAATATTTTTTAAAAACCTAGTACAAGAAGGTATTCATTAAATGTGTTACTGAATAAATTTTGACCTTTTATAAGCCAGGCGCAGTGGCTAATGCCTGTAATCCCAGCACTTTGAGAGACAGAAGCAAGAGGATTGCCTGAGCCCACAAGTTTGAGACCAGCCTGGGCAACTTGGCAAAACCTTGTCTCTAATTTTTGTCAAAAAGTTAGCTGGGGGTGGTGGCGTGCACCTGTTGTGCACCTGTTGTGTTCCAGTAATTCAGGAGGCTGAGGTGGAAGGATCATCTGAGCTTAGCAGGTTGAGGCTGTGGTGGCTGTGAGCATGACACTGCATTCCAGGTTGGGTGACAGAGTGAGACTCTGACTCAAAAAAAAAAAACGCTAGGTGCAGTGATTCACACCTATAATCCCAGCACTTTGAGAGGCAGAGGCAGGAGGATTGCCTGAGCCCAGGGATTCGAGGCCAGCCTGAGCAACTTGATGAGATCTAGTCTCTACAATTAATCGAAAAATTAGCCAGGCATGGTGGCGCATGCCTGTAGTTCCAGCTACTTGGAAGAATTGCCTGAGCCCAGTAGGTAGAGGCTACGGTGAATGTGAGCGTGCCACTGCGGTGAACATGAGTGTGCCACTGCACTCCAACCTGGGTGACAGAGTGAGACTCCAACTCATAAAAAAAAACCGTGATTTTTCTCCTTGGTCTCATATGAATTAGAATAGAATCTTAACTACACCTGTGTTCGCTTTTAAGCCCTGGAGTTAATCCCTTTCCCCCTTCCTTCCCCCTACCATAAGTTTGCAATTGCTTCCTATAGATTCTGATTTGGTCTGAATTCTCTAGATATTTCTTAAAAGTTATAAGAATCCAAGTGGGCACATTGGCTCATGTCTATAATCCCATCACTTTGGGAGACAAAGGCGAGAAGACTGCCTGAGCTTAGGGGTTCGAGACCAGCCTGAGCAACATGGCGAGACCTCATCTCTACAGTAAATCAAAAAATCAGCCAGGCATGGTGGCACATGCCTATAGTTCCAGCTACTTGGAAGACTGAGGCAGAAAGATCACCTAAGCCCAGCAGGTTGAGGCTGTGGTGACCACAAGCATGCCACTGCACTCCAACCTGAGCGACAGAGTGAGACTCCAACTCAAAAAAAAAAAAAAAACGTTATAAGAATCCCCAGGAGTGCAAGGCATCAGATACTTTTTTTCCTGATTTATCCCACTTCTTTTTCCCTAGGAACAGAGGAACTATCCTTGATAGTTAGTATTCATGGCTGGATTTAATGCTTCAGATTGAGCAGGTTGCCTGATTATGCAACCTTAAGTCATAATTTGTTACAGAATCAGCTATCTTGGGCATAATTCATGTTAAAAGAAAATTCATAAGAGCCTTGCTACCTAAAATGTGGTCCATGGACCAGAAGCATTGGCATCACCTGGTAATTGGCAAGAGATGTTTAATCTCAGGCTCTAAGACCTGTTTATTCAGAATCTCCATTGTAATCAGATCTCCAGATAATCGATATGCATATTAAAGTTGGAAACGCAGTAGATTATAGAAGTGCTTTCTATCACACCTGTGCATTGAAGTGCTTAAAAAAATTTTTTTAAGAACTCCTGGTCCTGGGTAGAGTGGCTTATGCCTACAATCCCAGCACTTTAGGAGGCCAAGGCAAGAGAATTCCTTGACCCTAGGAGTTCAAAATCAGCATAGGCAACATAGTAAAACCTCATCTCTATTTTTAAAAAAATTTTTGGGGGGCTGGGCATAATGGCTCATGCCTGTAATCCCAGCACTTTGGGAGGCCGAGGTGAGAGGATTGCCTGAGCCCATGAGTTCGAGACCAGCCTGGGCAACTTGGTGAGACCTCATCTTTACAATTACTCAAAAAATTAGCTGGGCATGGTAGCGCATGCCTGTAGTTCCAGCTACTTGGAAGGCTAAGGCGGAAGGATTGTCTGAGCCCAGCAGGTCGAGGCTGCAGTGGCCATGAGTGTGCCACTGCACTCTGGCCAGGGCAACAGAGACTCCAACTCAAAAAAATAAGCCGCGTTCGGTGGCTCAGCCTGTAATCCCGTGCCTTTGGGAGGCTGAGGTGAGCGGATTGCCTGAGCCCGTGGGTTCGAGACCCGCCTGGGCAACTTGGTGAGACCTCATCTCTACAATAAATCAAAAATCAGTTGGGGGTGGTAGCGTGCGCCTGTAGTTCCAGCTATTTGGAAGGCTGAGGCAGAAGGATCACCGCAGCCCAGTAGGTCAAGGCTACAGTGGCCAGGAGCAGCCACTGCACTCCAGTCTGGGTGACAGAGTGAGACTTCAACTCAAAAAATAAATAAATAAGAAATAAATAAATTCTTTTTTTTTTTGGTGTTGTAGTCTCACTGTGTCACCCAGGCTGGAGTAGAGTGGAACGTGCACAGCCACTGCAGCCTCGACCTGCTGGACTCAGACAAACCTTCCACTTCAACCTTCCATATTTTTTAAAATGTAAAAATTAGCTAGGTGTGGTGGCACACACTTGTAGTCCCAGCTACTGAGGAGGCTGAGGCAGAAGGAGCACTCCTGAGCCCAGGAGGTTGAGACTGTGATGAGCCATGATCTTGCCACTGCACTCCAGCCTAGGTGACAGTGAAACCCTGACTCAAAAAAAAAGAATCTCCTGGATACACATGGACATAAAGGTGGAAATAGTAGGTCAGGCACAGTTGCTCATGCCTATAATCCCTGCAGTTTGGGAGGCTGAGATTATAAGTAAGAGGATTGCTTGAGCCCACAGGTACAAGACCAGCTGGGCAACTTGGTGAGACCTCATCTCTACAAGAAACCAAAAAATTAGCTGGGTGTAGTGGCGCATGCCTGTAGTTCCAGCTACTTGGAAGGCTGAGGCCAAAGAATTGCCTGAGCCCAGCAGGTCGAGGCTGCGGTAGCCATGAGCATGCCACTGCAATCCATCCTGAGGGACAGAGTGAGACTCCAACTCAAAAAAAAAAATGGAAATAGTAGATAGTGGGGACTTTAAAACAGGAGTGGGCTCGGTGGCTCAGTCTGTAATCCCACGCCTTTGGGAGGCTGAGGTGAGTGGATTGCCTGAGCCCAGAGGTTCAAGACCCGCCTGAGCAAGTTGGCGAGACCTCATCTCTACAATAAATCAGAATGAGCTGGGCGTAGTAGCGCGTGCCTATAGTTCCAGCTACTTGGACGACTGAGGCGGAAGGATTGCTGGAGCCCAGCAGGTCGAAGCTGCGGTGGCCGGGAACGGCCACTGTACTCCAGTCTGGGCAATAGAGTGAGACTCCAACTTAAAAAAAAAAAACAGGGGTGGATGGGGGTGGCTGAGGGTTGAAAAATTACCTATCAGGTACAGTGTTTGAATAATGAGTACATTAGAAGTCAAATCCTCATCAGTATGCAATACATCCATATAACAAACATGCACATATATTCCCTGAATCTAAAATAAAATTTAATTTTAAAAAAAGGCTGGGCTTGGTGGCTCATCCTGTAATCCCAGTACTTTGGGAGACCAAGGCAAGTGGATTGCCTGATCCTGCTGATTCAAGATCAGCCCAGGCAACTTGATGAGTCCTTGTCTCTACAATAAATCAAAAATAAGCAGGGCATTGTAGCACTTGCCTATATTTCCGGCTGCTTGGAAGGCTGAGGTGGGAGGATCGCCTGAGCCCAGCAGGTCAATGCTGGTGTGGCCGTGACCATGCGTGCCACTGTAATCTAGCCTGGGTGAAAAAGTGAGACTCCAACTCAAAAAACAAACAAAAACCTGATCCCCATAATCTCTGGGGATGGGACCCAGGGATTTGAAGTGTTTAAAGCCCCCCAGGTGATTTCAGTGTGCAATAGAGGTTGAAGCACTGGACTAGAAGCAATTTGAGGCCAGGCTCGGTAGCTCAGCCTGTAATCCCAGCACTTGCCTCAGCAAGGCAAGTGGATTGCCCGAGACTGCGGGTTCAAGAACCACCTGGGCAACTTGGCGAGACCTCATCTCCACAATAAATCAAAAATTAGCCGGGCATGGTAGTGCATGCCCGTAGTTCCAGCTCCTTGGAAAGCTGAGGCGGAAGGAACACCAGGACCCAGCAGGTCGGGGCTGCAGTGACCAGGAGCATGCCACTGCACTATAGTCTGGGCGACAGAGTGAGACTCCTGTTCAAAAAAAAAAAAAAAAGAAGCAATTTGAATACATGATTGATGTTTAATTCCTGGCTTAGTGAAAGAGGCTCCATTTCTTTCAGCTCAGCCAAAGACCAACTGTGGCTGAACTACTTGCCAGGAAGATTCTGAGATTTAATGAATATGTGGAAGTAACTGATGCTCAAGATTATGACCGGCGAGCTGACAAACCTTGGACCAAACTGACCCCTGCTGACAAGGTACCTGGAAAACATTCTCTTGCTCACTTTTCTTTCTTTGAAGGATGCAAAGTATTAACTAGAAGAGAGAGCCATAAACAAAGCTTCCAGTTTTGATATAATGTTAAATTTCAAATCAGGATACAAAACACCAAGATATACAAATAGAAACTTTATACTAATGACTCCAATACCAGGACCAAAAGAAATAAAATACCTGCTGTATCACAAAGTTAAAAAACTGAAAGGAAATAAAACACATTTTTTAACAATGGTTATGTTTGATTGAGGGATTTGGGACTGTATGTTTTAGTAATTACCCATATTCCACTCTTATAATGGGAAATTTTTACATGCTATGAAAGCTATAAAAGCTACAGTATCTCTTTCATGTTTTTCAAGTATTTTGACTGAACTCAAGACTTTTGGTTTATTCTGAGACATACGGTGTCAGGGAAAGTGATATGTATCTTGGCTCATTGTATGGACCTCCCTTCTTTCCTCCTCCTGGGTTGTCTGCAAGGGGTTGCGATGACTCACAAAGTTAAGTACAGCCGAAAAATAGATGGCAATTCATAGTCTATACTGCAGCCGCCAGAAGAAGCTAAAAATTTTTTGTTTCTACTCCATAGGCTGCCATAAGAAAAGAACTAAATGAATTTAAAAGCTCAGAAATGGAGGTTCATGAAGAGAGCAAACATTTTACACGGTAAGACCCAAAAGACCCAATACTGTGAGCTAAATAGATCTTTCCAAGAAAACAAACATTACCAGAATTGTTCAGATGTGAAGGGCTCCAATGACATTAAAAAGGAGAAACCTCAGAGTTGACTGCAAGAAGACTATATTCAGAGAAAAGGATGTGTACTAAGAGGCAGTAGTAATGTCTATTCTGAGTATGGCATTTCATGTTTGTTATTTAATCCTTGCACTAAACCTGCAAGATGTGTCAATGTCCCTATTTTATCAGTGAGGAAATTGAGACTTAAAATAGTTACGCAAATTGCTTGACTTGCTAGTAAATTGCAGAACCAGATTTGGAGAAACAGATGAATAGCTATGGGATGCTCTCTTCCTTGCACTTTACTCCTCAGATTATGAATGAGGAGACGTTACTAAGTTAGACAAGATCTTGCCCTTTCTGGTTTCGGTTTTGTTTAGCACAGTTGGCCTTCCCAATTCATTGTATAACTTCATTTTAATTAACCGTCTTCATGAAAAACACCTAAAAATATTTTGATTTGGAATTGCTCTTGTAATTAAGGACCCACCAAAATCTAGACTCGGCTATCTGCAAGTGGAGTCAGTGAAAGCATCTGTTTTTTCTTTTTCTTTTCCCCTTCCTTCCTTCCTTCCTTCTTTCCTTCCTTCCTTCCTTTCTTCCTTCCTTCTTTTATTGGCAAAGTCTTGTTCTGTTGCCCAGGTTGGACACAATCATAGCTTCTTGCAGCCTCGAACTCCTGGGCTCAGGCGATCCTCTTGCCTCAGCCTCCCAAGTAGCTGGGACTATTGGTATGTGCCACCGTACCAGGCTAATTTTTTTATTTTTTGTAGAAACAAGGTCTCGCTATGTTGCCCAGGCTGGTCTCAAACTCCTGGGCTCAAGCAGTTCTCCCACCTTGGCCTCCCAAAATGCTGGGATTACAGTCCTGAGCCACTGTGCCCACCCTTGAAGTGCTTTGACTATTATTTTAGGATGCCAGAACCATTGGAAGTTTATAAGCAGGGAATTCTGCATATTTCAGAACAAGCTCTGGTGAAACTGTGAAAGGTCATATGGAATTATGAAGACACTTGCAGCAAGGAAACCAGTTAGGAAGGGATGGAAATAGTCATAGTGAGCATGGTGGTAGCTCAGAGCAGGCAAGTGATAGAATACAAAGGAGAGATTGGAAAGATTGGAAAAACTTTTCAAGCATAGAATCAATAAAATTTGGCTATCTGTTGGATTCCAGGAATAAAATAAAGGAGTAGTCAAAACGACTCTTTTATTTCTAACTTAAATTTAAGTCTGGAAAGGCGACAAGGAGTTCATATGAACAGTGTAGTTTATTCAACAAATATTTATTGAGCACCTACTACATGATAGATACAGTGCTAGGTCCTTGGGATACAGCAGGAAACAAAGTTTGTCCTCAATGAGGTTTTATTCTAAAAGAAAAAGGCAGACAATAAACAAGGTGGAAAATAAATTCGATCTGTTAAGTTTGACGAACCTGTGGCACATGGAGATAAAGATGCCTAGAAGAGAGTTAAATGTACTTTTAAAATTTTTAAATCAATTAGCACTGTTTTAAAAAAATATTTTAGGCCAGGTGCAGTGGCTCATACCTGTAATCCCAACATTTTGGGAGGCAGAAGCAAGAGGATTGCCTGAGCCCCAGGGTTTGAGACCAGCCTGGGCAACTTGGCAAGACCTGATCTCTACAATAAGTCAAAAAATTAGCCAGGCATGGTGGGGCGTACCTGTAGTTTTAGCTACTTGGAAGGCTGAGGCAGAAGTCACCTGAGCCCAGCAGATCGAGGCTGTGGTAACTGTGAGTGTGCCACTGCACTCCAGCCTGGGAGAGAGAGTGAGACTCCAATTCCATTTTTTTTTTTTTTTGTAGAGATGAGGTCTCAATGTGTCACCCAGGCTGGTCTTGAACTCCTGGGCTCAAGTAGTCCTCCAACCTTAGCCTCCCAAAATGTTGGGATTACAGATGTGAGCCACCACTCCTGGCTGAGTAAGTTAGATGTTCAGCCTAGAAGTTGGAAAGAAGGCAAGATCTAAAGTTACAAATGAGAGAAGATAGTGTACCTTTATGGGGGAAATTGTTTTTGATTTAACTGACCCAGAACAGCTTACTGAGGAAGAACAATTAAGAAGAATAAAGAAAACTAAGGGAAAGATAGTGTTACAGAAGCCAAGAGTAGAGAGTTTAAGAAAGAATATAGGAATTAAGAGGATCAGATACAACATAAAGATCAGGTAGAATTAGAACAGAGGAGAGGCCATTTTAATTAGGATGTAACGTTTTCTTACTACTATAATTACAGCAAAGCAATGTATGTTATCTGGTAACTTGTCTCTTTTTGATCATCTTTTTTAGCTACCATCGTCCATGATGCTGAAGTTTGAGAAGAACTAAGCAACTCCCCAAACACAGCTGCTTTGCCACTTCCATCTCCAGAGTGTGGAGGGAACTTTAGCACTTCCCAGCACAGCCAGAATGGCTTCCTTTGGGACCTAGTTCTGGGGTAAACAGCACTTCTATGAATGTAGCATTTCACTGGAATGGATTCTCATGTGCTACCCCTGGGCCCTTACCCCAAGATGACTGCCTGTACTGAGGCACAGTTTGCACCATTAGCCTTACCTATCCTGGTTGTGAGACCCACTTGTGTAGGCACTAAATTCCAGCCATCAAATCCAATTTGTGGTGGGGACAACCTTCTGGAGGTCTCCAGCCTTCTGGTAAAGGGGTCTCCAACTCCAGGGGCATCCTTCATACCATATTGGCATGTCAGATGATAGCATTGCACTATACCTCTTGTAACACAGCAATACAGTCCTCTTCAGGTACCCAAGCCTGAGACAAACGTCAGGATCTGACATGTTCCTCCTTTTCTTCACAAGTCATTCTTATTTTTACTTAAAATAATGATCCTGAAGTAATGGGAATTTTTTTCTCCTGTTAAACAATCTTAGCTGCAACTAGAATGCAAGTTACTTAAATGAAAAAGCATGTATATTTTCTATATACAAAAACAAGAAAAGCCTTAACATTAATGCCAACGTGGCATAAAACTAACTTGTGGCTTAAATTTTATAGGCTGTTGTACTTTTAGTGTTCCAAATGATATTCTAAATCACTTTGACCAATAGGTATATTCTCCTCCATAAAGCAGAGTTGTAGCAACCCTGTGGAAGTGTTTGTGAGCTGGCACTCCCCATACTTCCAGCCAGAATCTCAGCAAAGTCCTAAGGGATGAGGGGGTGCTGGATAGGAAAAGGCCTTTGGAAATGCAGGGAGGGCACAGTCTTGGTCCACTGCTCCTCTCTCTCTTCTCAGCCCTGTCTGCCCTCTCCTGCTGCAGCTCCCTCCTCGCTCCAACGCTGACCCTCCCTGGCGGCCTCTTGCCCCTCTTCTTCCACATGTACCTGGTATGGTTGGTGCCTGGGCATTGGCTTAGCCCCCTTTCTGTATTTGTAATATATATTGATATGATTTCTTTAAACAGAACATTTTGTTGCTTTCTTTGAATTTTTATTGAAAACCATACAGCCTCACTGTTTCCCTCTAAATCCTTTCCACACTTTAAGTGGAAGAAAAAAATAGTCTCTATTTAACTGATGAATGTGACTTTTTTCCTTCGCTTTAATGTTCAGGAAATTGTGACTATCTCATAGATTTCTTCTAATTTTGCAGGTCCCTATCATTTGTTCTGCATGTAATCTGTCAGTAGATTTTCCTCCTTTTATATCCATGTCAGCCTTGCTGAAGAATCAGAACATCAGGTCAAAACAAAAAAATCTTAAGTGTCCTTAAAAGGCAGTGTCTTCTCTCTGTGTAGGGAAAAAGGGGGATTTGGATTTCTCAGTTATTGTCAACTGTTTTATGACTGTGGAAATTATACTGTTTCCACGTGTTCTTGAAATTCATTAACACTTGGGAGAAATGAGTGAAGAGAACTGAGGATTCTACTAAGTCTCTTAGAGGTCTGGATATGACAGCCACACATTAACTACTAACTTGACTACTTCTAACCATTTTATCTTGTTCGTTTGGAGACTGCTTCACTCATGCCAGCATTCTTTGTGACTTGAGGCGACATTTTCAAACCCTTCTTTCACTGCATTTCTTCCCTTTAATGTGCCAAGCTTGAAACAGGATTTGATTTCCTGAGCTACTTGTCCGCCTTCTGTGTGCCACCAAGGAATTTGGTTCATCATTCATCTCATTCGTGTTCTTTTGAAACAAGACACTTTGGCAGTCAAGTCTATTCAAGTGTTTGTTTAGTTTTTATGTATTTAAAAATGGATTTTGTGTTCCCTTTCCATGTAAGTGTCAACTTACACAGGAACTCACAATCATAATGTAAAGAGGAAATAAAAGCCTGGTGTATTGTATTTCAAGATGCTTCCCTGGTGTACAGAATCTCCTTGTAAAATAAATCATTACATTGTATATCAGTCTTCCCATCAATATTAATTATTAAAGTATTTTAGAATTTTAAAATACCAAGGTATTCTGGTGTGAGGGTTTTCTTTATGTTCTCCATTTATTCCTTTTTTTTTTTTTTGAGTTGGAATCTCACTCTGTTACAGTCTGGAGTGTAGTGGCACGCTCACAGCCACCAGCAGCCTTGACCTGCTGGGTTTAGGTAACCCTTCTGCCTCAGCCTTCCAAGTAGCTGTAACCACAGGCACACGCCACTACACCCAGCTAATTTTTTTGGTTTTTTTTTTGAGTTGGAATCTCGCTCAGTCGCCCAGACTGGAGTTCAGTGGCCACTCCCGGCTTCTGCAGCCTTGACCTGCTGGGCTCCAGCGATCCTTCTGCCTCAACCTTCCAAGTAGCTGGAACTACAGGCACGTGCTACCACACCCGGCTAATTTTTTTGATTTATTGTAGAGATGAGGTCTCGCCAAGTTGCCCAGGAGGGTCTCAAACCCGCGGGCTCAGGCAATCCATTCACCTCAGCCTCCCAAAGGCAAGGGATTACAGGTTGAGCCACCGAGCCCGGCCCCAGGCGGGTCTTGAACCCTCAGGCTCAAGCAATTCACTCTCCTCGGCCTCCCAAAGCATGGGATTACAGGCTGAGGCACCGAGCCTGACCTAATTTTTTTATTTATTGTAGAAATTAGGTCTCACCAAGTTGCCCAGGCTGATCTCGAGCCCCTGGGCTCAAGCAATCCTCTCGCTTTGGCCTCCCAAGGTGCTGAGATTACAGGCTGAGCCACGGCACCCAGCCTTTTCTACTCTATTCTAAAAGATTAAAGCCAGCTTAAAAATGATACCTAAAATATTGCTAATGCCGCCAAATGATAAGTCGATGAGGAAGTAAAAATAATAGTTATGACATTAAATGTAGCCAGAAGTGAGAGTCATTTATGTCTGTTTCTGTCTGTGCACAAATATGGAAAAAAGAATAGGTTTCAGACAGGAGAGCTGACTATGAACCCCATACGTACCAAGTACTGCACTAGGCCCTTTATCTATTTAGCCCACTCATAACCTGTTAGTTAAGTGATAGTATATTCATTTGACCAGTGAAGAAACAGGTTGGCCAGGCACAGTAGCTCAAGCCTATAATCCTAGCACTTTGGGAGGCTGAGGCAAGAGAATCACTTTAGTCCAGAAGTTAGAGACCAGCTTGGGAAACATAGTAAGACTCCATCTCTACAAAAAGTACAAACAAAAAAAACCAAAAAGGCAAGTGTTGCAGCACACACCTGTAGTCCCAGCTACTTGGGAGGTTGAGGTGGAATTACACTTGAATCCAGGAGGTCGAGGCTGTAGGAAGCCAGGATTCCACCACTGTACTCCAACCTGAGTGACAGAGTAAGACCCTGTGTCCAAAAAAATAAAAAGAAACTGAGGTGATGTTGCTTCCCTAAGATTAAAGCAAAGTATGGAATATTTGAATATATTCAAGAACAAGCACTTTCATCCCAATCAGTTGCCCTTACAAGGATTTACTCAACATGGACCACATAATGGACCTCAGACTGACATCACAAAAGGACAGCTGGTACTTCATGTTGTCCTTTCTGGCAAGCAGCCAGTTTCAATCCAGCTGGCCTCAGCAATGACTCACTTTCTATGTGTCACTCCAGAGACTGGTCTTCTTTAGCTCACCACCTTTGACCAAGGATTAAAAGAACTATGGCATCGCATTCCACCTGCTCTCAGATTTTCCTTCCACAAGCCCTCCCAAGAGGCCTCAAGTTGCTGTTGCCCTTTTGAGGTTATACTGTCTGTCTCCAGAAGGTTGTTGAGAAGATGCACATTGCCCATTGTTTGCTGAAACAGTGAATGAGTCTTTGTGGATTTATGACTATGCTCCAGGAAAAGGAAGTTTGGAAACCCACTAGCAGAAAGATCCAACAGATATTGACTGGGCAAGGGATGAGATGAGGTATATTTATAGACGATGAGAATGTACATCAAAGGAAAGCCCAACCCCGAAGCCAAAACACAGCCAAGACCACATCAAGTTTCTATTCAATTCCATCCCTAGGAGGCATGAAGGGAAGACCAGGAATCCCCAGCAGCCCAGACCTCTTGCTCCTGGCTTTCTGTGTACATATTGTTACCTTTTCCCCCGAGATTTGTGCCTCCCGTGTAGAGCATAGAGGTCATTTAAGAGGAGACAATAAGCCGGGCTTGGTGGCTCAGCCTGTAATCCTGCACTTTGGGAGGCTGAGGTGAGTGGATTGCCTGAGCCCGCGGGTTCGAGACCCACCTGGGCAACTTGGCTACCTCATCTCTACAATAAGTCAAAAAGTTAGCCGGCCATGGTAGCCCGTGCCTGTAGTTCCAGCTACTTGGAAGGCTGAGGTGGAAGGATCACCAGAGCCCAGCAGGTCGAGGCTGCGGTGGCCAGGAGCAGCCACTGCACTCCAGTCTGGGTGACAGAGTGAGACTCCAACTCAAAAAAAAAAAAAGAGGAGAAAAATACATTCCTCTATCTGGCACTGAAGACACACAAGTTTATTTATTTGCTTCCTACCCTCCCCTGCCCCCAAGAAACAATCTTCCCTTAAATCTATTTCGTTTTCTTTTTTTTTTTACTTTGAGTCAAAGTCTCATTCTGTTGCCCAGGCTGAAGTTGAGTGGCATGATCACAGCTACCAGTCTCGACCTGCTGGGCTCAGGTGATCCCTTCGCCTCAGCCTTATCAGTAGCTGGAACTACTGCACCCCACCATACCAGGCTCATTTTTTGATTTATTGTAGAGACAATTACATGCATGAGCCACTGCACTCAGTGTTTAACTCTATTTAAATCTCTTGCCCTATCTCCTGCTTTTCCTCTGCTCCCTTCACATAATCTATTCTAATGTTGAACAATTTAGGTATGCCAGGCAACTGAACTAAATGATTGACAGAGGAAAAAGAAGTGATGGAGATGTCAACTGAACAGGCTTCTTGGCTTTGGGTAGTGATCTGTAGTCTGTCCGTACACATTGTTTCCCTATCTAAAGCCATATTCTCTCACTCATTGAAATATAAATTAGATTGGACATGGTGGCTCAAGCCTGTAATCCAGCACTTTAGGAGGCAGAGTTGAGAGGATGACCCAAGCTCAGGGGTTCGAGACCAGCATGGACAACTTGGCAAGACCTCGTCTCTACAATAAATCAAAAAATTAGCTGGGAGTGGTAGCACGTGCCTGTAGTTCCAGCTATTTAGAAGGCTGAAGTGGAAGGAGCGTGCCACTACACTCCAGCACTCCAGCCTAGGCAACAGAGTGAGACTCCAGCTCAAAAAATGAGTGTGTGTGTGTGTGTGTGTGTGTGTGTGTGTGTACACACACATTAAATCCAAACTAAAATGGCTTTCCCTGTGTTCACCAGTGACTTCTCAGTTCATTGCCACATCCAGAGGCCTATTTTTAGCTAATGTACTTGACTACTCTGCAGCATCTCTTGCTTTGGGCTATGTCCTGGTATTCAAAACTCTCCTTCCTTGGCTTCCGAGACATCACTGTCATCTGTTTTGTTTTTTGAGTTGGAGTCTCACTCTTACACAGGCTAGAGTGCAATGGCACAGTCATGGCTCACCATAGCCTCAACCTCCTGGGCTCAGGCAATCCTGAGTAGCTGGACTACAGGTGCGCGCCAACACAGCCGGCTAAATTTTTGATGTTTTGTAGGGACAAGAGCACTGTCTTATGGTTCTCCTTCTCTAACTGTGCTGTCAGTACTGCTGGCTTCTTTCCTAACTACCTTTTTTTTTTTTTTTTTGAGTTGGAGTCTCACTCTGTTGCCCAGACTGGAGTGCAGTGGCCGCTCCCAGCCACCGCAGCCTCGACCTGTTGGGCTCCAGCGCTCCTTCCGCCTCAGCCTTCCAAGTAGCTGGAACTATAGGTGTGCGCTACCACCCCCTGCTAATTTTTTGATATATTGTAGAGATGAGGTCTCGCCAAGTTGCCCAGGCGGGTCTCAAACCTGCGGGCTCAGGCAATCCACTCATCTCAGCCTCCCAAAGCCTGGGATTACAGGCTGAGCCATCGATCCCAGCTCCTAATTACCTTTTAAATGCTAGGTTTTTTGTTTGTTGTTTGGGTTTTTTTTGTATTGGAGTTCCAACCCCATCTATCTAATCATCCTTTGGACATATATATACCTGTATTTTTGGGGGTTTTTTGAGTTGGAGTCTCACTCTGTCGCCCAGATTGGAGTGCAGTGGCTGCTCCCGGCCACTGCAGCCTCGACCAGCTGGGTTCCGGTGATCCTTCCGCCTCAGTCTTCCGAGTAGTTGGAACTACAGTCGCACGCTACCACACCCGGCTAATTCTTTGATTTATTGTAGAGATGAGGTCTTGCCAAGTTGCCCAGGCGGGTCTCGAACCCGCGGGCTCAGGCATTCCACTCACCTCAGCCTCCCAAAGGTGCGGGATTACAGGCTGAGCCACCGAGCCCGCCTGTTTGTTTCCCAAGTAACGTGCACCTCCAGTGTGGACCTTACTCTCTAGCCCAAAGCCTGCAATTCCAATTTTCGGGGTTAGAAACTACAATATTTCAACCTCCCAAGCCTGAAACTTTGATATAATCCTGAAGTTCCTCTCTTTTCTCTCAAGTCCAGTGGCACAACCAACCTCAGAAATGTCTCTGGACTCCTATATCTCTTTTCACCTTCTTTACTATCCAAGTTCAAAGACAGCATAATTTAGTGGAACTTCATAACATCCTCCCCATTATCCTCTCCCATCTATCCTCCAGTATTGCCACTAGAGTTATCACTCTAAAACGCAATCATGATCACAGTCAATTTTACTTCAAAATTTATTGGCCCAGCCTGGGCAACACAGTGAAACCTCATTGCTTCCAAAAAAATTTTTTTAATTAGCTGGGTGTGGTGGTGCATGATTGTAGTCTTACCAATCCAGAGACTAAGGTGAGAGGATCCCTTGAGTTGGAGGCTGCAGTGAGCTATGATTGCAGCACTGCACGTCACCCTGGACTGGCCATGAGCAATGGCTCACATCTATAATCCCAGCACTTTGGGAGACTGAGG